GGGGCTTCCGTTCACGTCCCCCGGCTCCGGAGAGGCTGCGGCGTCGCTTCGAGGCCCGTCTGAGCCGCACGGGGCGGCCTGTCACCTCTGTTGGCTTCTGCGCACCCTGACCCTCTTGCCAAAATAATCCTGGAAATACTGCTACAAAAAATAAAAAGAAAATGAGAAAGAGAAAAAGAGAAAAAGAAAAAAATAGGAAAGAAGGAAAAAAGTGTGAGGGAGAAAACGAGTGCAGCGGGGAGCACACGCAGCGTCGCTCCTCGGCACCGCGGACCCCTCTGCCGAGTGAACTGGAGGCAGATGACACCCGAAAGCGCCCGCTTGGCGCGGTGCAATCAGCCCGGGGGTCCGCGCGTGCACGAGGCAGCGCTCGCCCATGGGCCGTGGGGGGCAGAGGGGCTGGCCGGGCAGCAGGACGGGGCTGGGACGTCCCCATGGGGGACCCCGTGCCCCACGCCGGGGCAGGAGCGTCCAGGCAGCTCCTCGTCCCCACGCGGTGGCCGTGGGGCGCAGGGAGGGACCCTGGGCACGGCGCGAGCAGCCCCGGCGCAGGTAACATGTGGGCGCATTCCCATAACGGCGCTCGGTGCCCGCGGGGCCGGCGCCTCCTCTCCAGCGCTGCTGTTTGCTTTGCAGCCTCCTTAGCCTCTATTGAGGCTTTTCAGTTCCGGCCCCTTCAGGAGGTTTAAGTAGGTAAAACCTGAGGAAGAGGCTATTTTCCTCTGTCCCTTTTGAGCCCTGCCTTGTGCCCAAAAGGCCCCCTTGTTTCACGCGTGCCAGTCACCTGGCTGGGCCCCCAGCCCCTTTCTCTCCCAGCCTTCCCTTTCTTTCTCCTTTCTCTCTTTTGACTTTTCCAGGAGCCCTCGCTCTCCAAACGAGCTTCAGATTGGATCCAGATTGAGGTCCCTTTGTCTTTCAAGGGTTGTACTAAGCTAATTAAATGTGATCCCAACAAATAAACGCAGATCTCCCCATTACATTCAGGGCTGCCTTTCAGGCAGCACCGGGCGGCCCCTCGCCCCCGCCCGCTGCGCGCAGGGTCCCCCTCATTGAGTCCTGGCCATTGAAAGCACTGCCAGGATTTCTTTTGTGCCGGGGGTCTCCGAGCCCTTTTTCCATCAGAAAAGACCCCCAAACAGCAGCTCGGCCTTTGTGAGTTTGCAAGCAAACGCCAAAGAAAAGCCCCCTGAATGCTTTAATAAATGACACATTTAACAACTTCAGA